ACAGACTCTGGAAGCCCACTTTGGAAAAAGGGGTTGCTCAGATATCCACCTCCCCATGTGGATGAGTGCAGAGTGTACTATACCCCTTGTTACTCATTCACTAAAAAAAGTAACTAAATTCAACCACATCATTGAAAAGGTCCTTTATTAACATAAATAACTATATACATAAATCAATCACATTGTCCAGTGATGAACTGTAGATTCAAGGCAATTGCAATAAGTGATAACCGATGATCAGACATCCCAGTGACATTATGATCCACCACACCCGATGATCTTCCCCTGCCACCACACCCGATGATCTTCCCCTGCCACCACACCCGATGATCTTCCCCTGCCACCACACCCGATGATCTTCCCCTGCCACCACACCCGATGATCTTTCCTTGCCACCACTCCCGTTGAAAATGACAGATCTCTGGCATCTCTGGAAAGTAAACACAGCAGCTGGAATCTCTGCCAGCTTGTCTACAAACAGAATTTTTTGTGAAATCGTCATGTCATATAGCGGCGATAGTTATACCTTTGTTAAATGACCGGCTTCCTGCTACATCAGCCAGCAGTTTGGATGGCAAAGTGGCAAAATATAGCCAGTTATTTTGTAGGGCTGGGTACAGGTTGAACTTATGTCCAACCTGAACTCAAAGCTCATTCGTGATATTCTGTACTGTATTTATTTATATACTTACTGACCACTTTATTAGGTACATCTGTTCAATTGCTTGGTAACACAAATTGCTAATCAGCCAATCACATGGAAGCAATGCAATGCATCTAGGAATCTAGACGTGGTGAAGATGACTTGCTGAAGTTCAAGCCGAGCATCCGAATGGGAAATAAAGGGAATTTAAGTGACTTTGAACGTGACATGGTTGTTGGTGCTACACTGGCTGGTCTAAATATTTTAAAAAACTGCTGATCTACTGGGATTTTCATGCACAACCATCTCTAGGGATTACAGAGAATGAACTGATAAAGAGAAAATATCCAGTTGTGTGGATGAAAATGACTTGTTGATGTCAAAAGTCAGAGGAGAATGGGCAGGTTGGTTCATCTGAGACATTCCAATGGTAGGGTCAGAATTTGGCTTAAACAACACGAAAGCATGGATCCATTCTCCCTTGTATCAACGGTTCAGGCTGGTGGTGGTGGTGTAATGGTGTGGGAGAGATTTTCTTGGCACTAGCAAGGTGTACTTAATAAAGTGGTAGGTGAGTGTGTATATATGTATTTATATCACCAATATTTACACCACCCTTCCTTATAGTTTCTGTAACTATAGGTACTTAATTAAGGGAGAAAAGTCCATCAACTGTTGAGTTTGCTAACCTTGCCCTTCAGGACAAATCTCCACAGTTCACTAGGAGGAGCTACTAGAGGCCAGGATGTTTTTAACCCCCCCGGCGGTATTCCCGAGTGCAGCTCGGGGTAAAGTTTCAGTACCACAAGCGGTAACCCCCCCCGAGCTACACTCGGGAATACACTGCAGCGTTGCTCCGCGATCCCTCAATCACTTACCTTGTCCTGCGCTCCAGCGATGTCCCTCCTGCAGTGTCCCCTGTAATGTCCTCCGGCCGATGTCAGCACCCAGCTTCTGGATTCCGTCCCCTGCAACGTCAGGGTGTACAGGGGACGGAACGGAGGGAAATTTGAAAATGTAAAAAGTGACATTCACTAAATACACTAAAATCACATAGTATAACATTCCTGTATCAAACCATTTCACATACATTTTGTCCCGAGTGCTTTGTCCGGCGCCCTGCCTGCATTTTTACTGTTCTTTCTGCCTGGAAACTGAGAAACGTCCATGGCGTCCAAAAAGCGTCCCTTTAGGTCAGACGCGGTTTTAGACCGGCTAGAGAACAGCGATAGTAAATCAGAACCACTTGCAGAATTGAGTGATAATGATTCGTGGGGGAAATTCCTCATCAGACACTGAAAACGATTCTGCGACTTTGCTCAGCGATGTGCGAACTTGGCGCTCTATTTCACATTTCAGTGTTTTTGGTTTGTTTATATTATTGAATTAAATTTATTATTATATTATTATTTTTTATGATTATTTATTAAATTATAATTTATCATTTCGTGTTTCAATATTTATCATACCCGGGATGTTTACTAGACTCAGATTTCAGTGAATTATTCCTAAAAATTACAGGCCTACAATAAAAAAAATACATATTTCCATGCAAAAAAATGTACCGCTTTGAGCACAGAAATATGGACATAATCAGACCGCTAGGGAGGTTAAAATAATTTAATGAGAGTTGTGTCTTTTCCTCAAGTGCTAGTGATTGAAATTGTAATGTCCTGGCATCTAGGGACAGGAACAGCTAAATCATGGAATGAGGGAATAACTAGTGATATTCTGCTACTAGAGTTGGACAAGAATAATGACAGCAAAAGGTAAAAAATACATGTAACAAGGGCAAATGATTTTACCATCATTACTGAATGAGGTTCTTCGTGGTAAGCTTGAAATATCCTACCATAGGAGGTGATAATAGCAAAAAACACTTTCCAATTCACTGATGGTATCCAAATCATGAACTCTATGCATACTATAGTGATTGTTATCTACAGAATTGATCATACTGCCGTATAGTAGCTTATCTTTACACTAGATAAAATCTGTTGGGTAAAACTTGAAGGACATTCATCATTTTTTCAACTATGAAACTATGTAATATTAACATGTCTTCATGATGCAGATAATACTGTTGTTTCTGGTTGCTTCATATCTATACCATAAGAGAAATGTGTACACCATCTCTGTACTGCGTACTCCAACTGCTGCTTGAAAAGACTCAAAGAGGAATTTTGGCAATCTTGTACTTCTTATTTAACTATGGACAGCTATAACAATAGTTTGTAGTAATAATAATAATAATAATAATATTAAGCTACCCTAAAATGAATAGAGAACCATTCATATACAGACCTAAGAAATAGAAGAAATAACCTATTGTTTGTGTTATTCTGCACATTCGCTTTACAATTCTTTATGAATTACTGACTGATAATCTCATATCTCTAGCCACATCAATATTTTAGCCCATGAGAATATCACTGAGCGCAGATTCCCGGAGGCTCCATGTAATTCAGTTTGGGCTTTTTATAAAAGCCGTATCAGAAAACCACTTAAAAGAGCACAATTTACAGCTGTGGTAATATCTGTGACCACTAATGTGTAAGTATATATATACACTATACTGCCAAAAGTATTGCCTTTACACGCACACAAACTTTAATGGCATCCCAGTCTTAGTCCATAGGGTTCAGTATTGAGTTGCAGCTATAACAGCTTCAACTCTTCTGGGAAGGCTGTCCAAGGTCTATGGAATGATTGACCATTCTTCCAGAAGCACATATGTGAGGTCAGGCACTGACGTTGGACAAGAAGGCCTGGTTCACAGTCTCCACTCTAATTCATCCCAATTTCTATGGGGTTGAGGTCAGGACTTTGTGCAGGCCAGTCAAGTTCCTCCACCCCAAACTCACTCATCCATTTTTTATGGACATTGCTTTGTGCACTGGTGTGCAGTCATGTTGGAACAGGAAGGGGCCATCCATAAACTGTTCCCACAAAGTTGGGAGCATGATACTGTCCAAAATATCTTGGTATGCTGACACCCTAAGAGATCCATTCACTGGAATTAGGGGGCCAAGCCCAATCCCTGAATAACAACCACACACCATAATCCCCGCCTCCACCAAACTTTACACTTGGCACAATGCAGTCAGGCAAGTACCGTTCTCCTGGCAACCACCAAACCCAGACAGAGAAGCATGGTTAGTCACTCCAGAGAACATGCACCACTGCATCCAACGCTTTGCATTGCACTTGGTGATGGAAGGCTTGGATGCAGCTGCTCAGCCATGGAAACCCATTCCATGAAGCTCTCTACACACTGTTGTTATGCTAATCTGAAGGCCACATGAAGTTTGGAGTTTTTTAGCTATTGACTCTGCAGACAGTTGGAGACTTCTACACACTGTGCGCTTTATGACCCCACTCTTCACAGATGTTTGTAGAAGCAGTCTTCATGCCTAGGTGCTATATTTAATACAATAGGTAACACATTTGTAAGAGTAATTACTTCTTTCTTTATTTCTGTTGTTAGTTTAAGCTAAAATAATACCTTTAAGAATTGTTTTCTTTTTTTCTTGTTGAACCTGCCTTTAAATATCAATTTAAATCAAACTTTATTTGAAGTTCAGCAAATTTCAGTCTGAGGTTTCCTTTGGCCTGCTATGCTTTGTGTTTCACTATATGCAGCAGGTCCAATTCCAATCTATTTGTGTTGATCAAAAAGCAAGTCAAACTCCACCCTCACTGCATTTCACATTTGAATCGCAACCAACAAGAAAATGTAAGTGTCTGATTCTCACTGATTACACTAGAGTGAAATGTAATTCTATTGGTTTTGATTAAGTTTCCTTATGGTAGACCCAAGAAGAAAGTTTACTTGATTGGTAAAGCCAGTCTTCCTCTTCTCCTCTCTCTTATGTCTTTCTCTCTCTCTTTGTCTCGCTCTATCCTGTTTCTCTCTCCCCTTCTATCTCTCTCTTCCTCTCCTATTTCCCACTCTCTCTCCCCATCCCTGTCATTTTCTCTCTCCTGTCTCATTTCTCTCCAGGCAGTCCATTTTGTTTTCTATAACTGGCCGACGTTGCTTCAGAAATGTTACATGTTAATTTTAATATTCTGTCCTCAGATCATGGAAAAGAAGAATATGACCCGAATTTCCACAATCCACCTCCTAGGATTTCAGATCCCACAAAATGTTAAATTTTTGTTCTTTTTCATTTTTTTATAACTTATTGTGTGACAATATGTGGAAACCTCCTGATCATCACATTGGTGTCCTACAGCAAAACCCTCCAGTCCCCCATGTACATCTTCCTCTCCCAGCTGGCTATTTCAGATGTAGTACTGGTAAACCACTATTCTTCCTAACACGTTCCGAACACTTTTAGTGAAAGTTACCATAATGTCATTTTCTGATTGCCTCTCCCAGTTTTATTTCTGTTGTGTTACAGTAATATTGGACAGCCTTCTTCTAACTGTGATGTCCTATGACAGATATTTGGCCATCTGTAAACCATTACATTATAGTATGATAATGAATCGCCACTGCTGTTGTACTTTGGTCATTATATGTTGGTCTTTAAGTTTTTCAGGTATGCTAATCCACACTTTAATAATAGCTCAGTTGCAGTTTTGTGGCCCCAAAATTATTGATCACTTTTTTTGTGATCTTAATCCAATTCTTAAACTCTCCTGCTGTGATATTGCAATTATTCAGCTAGAGATAACATTGTTGACGGTTTTATTTGATGTCATCCCATTTTTTAGTGTTGTTTTATCTTATATTATTATCATAGGCATCATTTTCAAAATCCCATCCATCACTGGAAGGAAGCAGGTTTTCTCTACATGTAGTTCCCACCTGACTGTTGTCTGTGTCTATTATGGCAAATACACTTTAAGGAATAAAGACCTGAAAAAAGCCCTGAACATTTTTATCAACAAACTTTTGTATGCATATTTCATTAGAAATAAAAATTAGACATAAATTAATTAGACATATATAAAGTATAATACGATGAAATACATATGTAATGCATTAACCTCCTCGGTGGTATGATTCTTTCCGTTTTTTTGTGCTGAAAGCGGTACCATTTTTTTGCATGAAAATATGTAGTTTTTTATTGTAGGCTGTAATTTTTAGGAATAACTCACTGAAATCTGTCCGAACAAGAGTCTAGTAAACATCCCGGATATGATAAAATTTGAAACACGAAATCATAAATTATAATTTAATAAATAATCATAAAAAAATAATATATATAATAATAATAAGTTTAATTCAATAATATAATCAAACCAAAAACACTGAAATTTGAAATACAGAGGCAAATTCGCACATCGCTGAGCAAAGTCGCAAAATTGTTTTCAGTGTCTGATGAGGAATTTCCCCCATGAATCATTATCACTCAATTCTGCAAGTAGTTCTGATTTACTATCGCTGTTCTAAAACCGCTTTTGACGTAAAGGGACGCTTTTTGGACGCCATGGACTTTTCTAAGTTTCCAGGCAGAAAGAACATTCAAAATGCAGGCAGGGCACCGGACAAAGCAGTAGGGACAAAATGTATGTGAAATGCATTGAAATAGCAATGACAGCAAAAATGAAATTTTTTAAAAAATTCTAATTTCCCGCCGGTTCTGGCGCCTGTACGTCCCGACGTCACAGGGACCGGAACACAGAAGCCGGATGCCGGCATCGGCCGGAGGAGATGGCCGGGGACGCTGGAGAGAACAGATCGCGGGAGCGAAGGACAAGGTAAGTGCTGTAGGGACTACCTGAGCAACGCCGCATGGTAAGCTCGAGTGTAGCTCGGGGTTACCTCTCTTGGTATAGAAATTTTACCCCGAGCTACACTCGGGAACACCGCTAAGGAGGTTAAACATGATCAAAATAATATTCTAAATTTATACAAAAGATGAGTCCACCTTTCATAACCTGTTACATCCATATTCAGGGTGTAACATGTAAAATGTTACTAAATAAGCAGTCCCCCAACCCTAAACCCCCCCTTTCCCCAGAGCCCTCATTGTGACAGCAGCCTGTGGATCCTCTCCCCACACCTGCTGTCACAATTTTTAAAAAATTAATCCGCGTCATTAATTTACAGAGTTCTCTGAATGAGAAAACTACAACTACCTTCAGCTTCTTGAAGACGTACAATTACAGAGGAAACTAGTTGAAGCAGTGTTCCCCAGCCGGTACTTCACATCTCATCCCTGGAGCAATAGCAAGCCTCTGGTCCTGGGGGGCCGCAGCTATCTTAACCATAAGCACTGTATGAACCTGTTGTCGTTCCTTAGGAACATATACACGAGTGCAGTCTAATTGTAAGGTTTTAGATGGTTTAATAAAGTCGGATGCTTTGTGCAATTACCTTTTCTCTGATACTGTTTTTTTAGTGGCATTGTATTGCATTTTAAGGAATCGCATCCTGGTACATGTGAATGGTCATGTTGGTGAGAAGACACACAGTGGGTCTAACCAAAAAAGCTCAGTGAGACCAATCCAAGATCTATCCATCGTGGTGAGTGCAAATCCATGTGGGGTCACCTGGAGTATCTGGAAGTGGTCACCTATTTATTTATTACTAATGGCACCATCACCTGTTCACCTATCTTTTAGTTTTCAAGCAACTACTGTATTACTTGAATGGGACTTACTGATACATTGGAAATTAGTTGGATTTTCTGGTGTTGTTTATTCATCTATTTTTTGCACTTTTACACGTGGCAAGCGATTTAGTAACCTTGATTCACATTTTTGTCTATATACACATTTATAGGGTTCATAAATGTGGAAGTTTTGAAGACTGCAGCAGCCTAATCACATTAATTTTGTTTGGCCATTGCGTGTCGCTATTTTGTTGTGCTTAGTGTTGCTTTATAGGAGCATATAGTTGAGGCTGTGGGGTCTATTGAGGAGCGAGTACCAGTGTCATGGACGTTCTCAAGGTGTGATGATGCATTTCCGCCCAATGGCCTGTAAGGGCAGAAGTGACGTAGATGTGCATTGCTCTGTGATTTTGTCTCTGCAGATATAAGGACCGAGTTTCAATATTTGTGTTTTATGTCTCAATGTTGATAAATGGGTCCACAGTCGTAAAGCATAATTAAATATTTGTATCATATCACTCAGCACAGCCATGTGCTGTTAAAGCTTTCACTGTTTCGAAATATGCCTAGCAGGCAACTAATAGACCTTTTAAATCGAACGAGGAAGAGGTAGCAACTTTACTTTCATCCCAAAATGGATTATACTGTAGTTTTAGGTCTACAATTTCATAATTTTTCATATTCTAGAGCAGCCTTTTCAACTTCAAGAAATCCTTAAATTAACTAGACAGTGCCATGGAACCACTGGTAATATCTACGCAGTCAGTGGGAAGTGTGCTTCTTACATTTGTGGTCAATAGGAAGAACCTCCCTTACAGATTGCTAAAAAGATTATAAGCATCATGGGTTACTTATGCAAGAGTCAGAGTTTGCTCATTGTCCAAGGCACCCCTAGCAACCCTAGGGTTCCATGGAAAGACGAGAATGGCTGTTTTAGAGGTTCAGTTGCTGACTAAGTAGCAACCATTTTCCTCCCAAAGTTCATGGGGTAGAAGGTAATATATCTCAATATTGTATCTGTTTTATTTTAAACAACTTCTGTACTTGTGTGTACAATATATTATCTGGCACACTGATGAATGAGTCTTCCAGCTCAATTTATGATGGCTGTTTCAAGGAGATATTTTAGAAAAATGACAAGGATACTTATGCCACTTACTGAGCTTGCAATGTGTTTACTTTATTGATGTACCTACTGATAGCCCTGTAGTCCACACATGCCAGTTAGGGTTTCCTGCAAAATCATGGAATAGCAAGTTGTTTATTATAGGACTAGGGATGGGCTTTATGTTCGAGTAGAGTGTTAATTGGACTTGAACATTCCCCGAACACACAAAGGGCAAAGGCGTTTGGCGGGCTCTTCACCCTGCCACGACACAGAATGCACTGCGCCCTGATAGTGCATTGTGATTGGACAAAGCATTCTTTTGCTAATCACAGAGCATGAGGATGTCACAAGACAGCGGGGGTGACCCCGCCCCCTTGTGACATCAATACGCTATTTAGGAACTGTCATCGTGGTGCAGCTATCGGATGCCAGAAGCCAGTGTTGAGAGCAGAGTGTTTTTTTTTTTTCTTGGCAGTGATCGTGATTGATGTTGGATCTACTTCGGGGCTATTTTTTAAAAAAAAATTTGTAATAAAGGACTTGTCAAAGACTGTCTCCTGTCATTTTTACACTACACTTCTTTTTTTTTAATAGGTAGCAGTACCATGTACCTAAATAAGTCCCAAAATCTTAGTGTATAAAGTCCCAAAAATAAGAATCCAAATAATTCCCAAAGAGGTTATCTCTAAATCAATACTTTCTTAAATCTTCGTATCTTCAAATCGCCTTTGTTAGGTGTACTCCAAAAATAAATCTTCATATACCTCAAAGAAAAAAACTCGACATAGTGCTTTATCCAAATAATATCCAAAATATAATAAAAGTGCCACACGTGTAACATGCAAAAACACTCTCGTGCCACAGCAACCGTGAGAGAAAATACCTCCGCCTTACATGTTATTCACTGCACAAAAATAACAGAAGTGCATAATTACCCTCAAGGTAGTAACACAGGCCATAGATGAGATTAATTCCAACCTTTTTCCTTCAGCCTTTCCAACCACTTCCCATAGACCTCATAAACAGACCAGGGATCAGTATATATAATAAATAGTCACAGTACTTTATTATAGCAACTTACATTAAAATAAGAAGAAATCAGCTTCCACACAAAACGATTGAATCCACAATCGAGCCTCTCCTCAGTGGTGTTACAATATCCTCAGCATACCACTTTAGGGAAGGAATATGTAATTGGTAATGAGTTCCCCACTACCCATACACCTGTATGGAGGATTCCAGGGCATATACAGCCGCGTGTTCCAAGAACAAAAATGGCCGCCACAGCACTTCCGGAAGAGCGTCAGAACGTCACCACGTCACGTGTCCCGGACGCGTTTCGTCACATCCGGACTTTATCAACAGGGATACGGACGTGTCTCCTCACTCTCCTTAAATACCATTGACGCAGGAGGTGAGGATACAGCCGCGGCCATTTTACAACCTGGAAGCCCGGACCTCCATACCCATACGGATAAGCTGCACCTAGACCAGCAAAACACCGGGAGAAAAACAATCCCATACTGGCCAACTTGTGCCCTCATATTATACCAATACAAATTTAATTGAAAAAAACATCCCCCAAATTATATATATATCAATAGTGGCCATTCCTCCCGAGGGTGCCCCATGCATCAGATATTATAAAATCCCTAACATTCACAAAAAGGGATGGAGATCAGATTTATCCTCCATCCTCCTACTCCACCCCCTAAAACATGAATAATAACATAATAAAATATTCGCATGATAAATCAATATCCGCCCAATATACATACACATATTTTATATAATCTACT